TCGCCGCCCTTGACCTCTGGCCTGTACCCCAGTTCTGTATGCACAAATAAATAAATCTTTAAAAAAAAAGTCCATTATATATAAACTTAATTTTTATAATTTGAAAAAAAGCGGAGCACAAAATGGGTAAAATGTCTGTTCTGATAAGTGCAGTTTTTAAAAGGATACATACAACAGCTGGAATAGTTTTGCTTGGTGAATGAGTATGAGAAATGGCAAAATCTTTAACTTCCCCTCCCCTTCCACAACCATTAGCTGTGGATTTCTGAAGAAAAAAAAAAATCCAAAGCCAACAAAAAAACCCATTTTATAAACTATGTGTAAACTATACATAGGATTGAAGGATGGATGCCAAAGGATTGAGGGATGGCTTAACTTCTTTCATAATTTTCTTTTACTGTTTTTTTTTTTTTTAATCAAGAATACTCTTCAGCCTGGAAAGCTGTCAATACAGAAATGAAGACACCACAGGAACACATACTGAAAAAGAACAACAAGTTCTCCAGATCTGGACTACTTTCAACCTGTCTAGAGATCCTGTAGGTAGTTGGTAAGTGAAAGAAGGCAAAAAGGGACAGAAAACAAATTTCTACTTTTAAGAAAAAAATACATGGATTATACAGTTGCAGACTATTAATGTACACTCTAAGTAAGATTAGCTTGAATTAGTTAATAGGTAAATACTGAAAATAGAAATGGTTATCTTTGGGAGGCACAGGAATTCATTAGAAGTCTTATCAAATTAAATCTATGTCCTCTTTTTGGGTGGGCTAACAATCATACCTGAACAAAGAAATGGACTAAATACTTCACCTGGATTTAAGCAAAGCATCTAGTGAGCAGTCAAGCAGTGATGGATTATCACACACATTAGCGAGAACACTTAGTGCTAATGGTTCAGTGGGGTTAATTCTAACTTTACGATTATAGTGGCTTGACACAGGGATTTGCTCTTAATTTCTGCTGTTTGTCATTTTTACTAATAAAGGTATGAAACCAATGATTTTAGTATTAATACCACTGATGCAAGATAACCATTCTACAATATGGTAGAAATAGGATGCCAATATTTATAGACATAGAAATGACGACTTCAATCAAATGCAAAATTTAGATTGAACGCATCGTTTCTATAATGTGCTTTATTATGAGGGTAATGGTAAACGCCATCTCACATTGAGAACCATTATAAATATGAGGGCTAACCCATAGAGTCATGCTGAAAAGAAGGCATTATCTTCAGTGTAAGTGGAGGAAACTTATGTTAAGAAGTCAACTGACTTTAACTGTTGTTAAAGCTAAGAATTTGAGTCAAATAAGATTTGTCTGATTCCAAAACACATGCTCTTTCTAAGACTACTTCACCCAAGTTCACAAAGGAGCCAGATTTCCCTCATTTGCTTTATTTCTAAGATACTGTGGAGCATTTTTAAAAACATTTTCATAAGTCTGGATATTACTCCAAAATGCCTCTTCCTTTTATAAAGGAAGGAAGGTTGTATTTTGGTAAGTGGTGTCATTCAATTAGATAAAAAAAAAATCTACCTCAAACATTTAATTACTTCCACAATGGTCTAGAACAGAGGTTGGCAAACTATGGTACACAAATCAATGCAGGTCTCCTGTTTGAATGACTGAGAACAGTATTTACATTTTGAAAAGGCTGACCAAAAATAAAAAAAGAAAAAAAGAATATTCCAGAACACATAAAAGTACAGGAAATTCAAATGTCAGCATCCATAAATAAAATGTTACTGGAACTCAGCCACATTTGTTCATTTACTTATTGTCTATGGATGCTTTCATGCACACAGGGAAAGCTGAACAGCTGTGACAGAGAACGTGTGTGGTGCTCACATTGCTTCGCGCTGCTGCAAATCTCAGTGCAGTTTTAATCAGACAATATTTGAAGTGCCACACATATTGTCAGGCTGACTTTTTATTACTTTTTATTACTAATGCATACTAATACTTAAAATAGGTTTTAACGTTAACTTTTAGTGTTGCACTTTTACATAAAGTGGAATGTGAATTTTGTTGCATAATCACATGGCAAAGCACAGTACCGATGATGCAATGACACTTTAGCTATGCTAACAGAATACAATTTACTTTGACATTAACAGGCTAAGCATCAATCACAATATCCCCGTTTTATAGGAAAGTAAGTCGGAATCCTAAGATAACTGAAAACAAGATAGCTCATCACTGTAGAAATTATTCATACATACACAGAATGAGAAGGGCAAAACCACAGTAACTTTCCCAGTGGATTGTTGGCCAAGCAAAGACAATTTTTTAGCAAAGAAAATTCACTGATGACTTGAGAACACTAATACTCAACTAAAAAACATGGCAAAAGATTTCAGTTTTCCTTGGATTTTGTTGATTCAATAACTATTACCAATACAGCCCAGTTACTGTTAACTGGAAAAGTCCATATGAGTATAGTGATTCAAGGATTATCTTTTTTTCAATAGTCTCCATGAAATAATAGAATGATTTTTAAAATAACCTGAGAAAACAATAGCTTAGTAGAACTAATATGGAATCTGCCAAGTTGTGGTGCAACTGGTATAAATATGTGTAAAATTGAAAACAGCTTACAAACATTTACAAAGTCTGTGAAAATACTTGTTTAAAGTTAATGACTATGTATTATATATCAGCAGGAATGCTGTACAAAATACTTGAATCAAGTTATTGACTTGACTCACTAATGAATTTCATTCACTCTTAAACACAACTACATCATTTTGTCAGAAATAGAAACTGAATATACTCACTTGCTCAACTTCACTGGAGTTGAATATAGTGTGATGATTTACTGCTATTTTTGGAACTCAAGACCCAGGATAGCATTTTCCTGAATGACAATAACATTCACCTACTATCAACAAACAATAAGTGACTTTGGATATTGGCTTTTTCTCAAGACTTGATGTTTCTTAATTCACTTTAGAATTACAAGATGAAACTGTATGTGAAACTTAAACTGCAAGTTATTATGACAATTAATGTCATTTAAATCACAATGTCAAGCTGCTTTATATACTTCCCATACTGTTAAGTTAAAAGCAGCACTAGGCCTCTATTTTCATTCAAATTTTGCAGTGGAAACATTTTGCAAAAGTGTGCTACAGTCCCAGCACACTTTTGGATATCAATGCAAGTGTAAAGTAAATTCTGTATTTCACAATCTACTTAACTATATAATTGAAGAGCACCCACCTAACCTTCAATAAGAGGTAATTAACCTGCAATGTAATGATATGCCAAAAGGCAAATATCAAGAGCAGAACATAATAGAATTCTATAAATACCTTCCAAATGATGAATATGCTCAATTAAAATCATACATGGGAGGACTGATAAAGTATGTAGTAGTAGCTTTGTGAAGGCATTTGAAAGACAAAATATGCAAAATCACATTACAGAACAGCACAATACAAACATCTTCAAGATTTCAAGTCCCAATTAAGTGAAATAAGCCCTCAACTCAATTCTTACTATATAGTAGACCCGTATTAGAAACAATTTGTGCTCACGTGCTAATATTTTGAATAAAAAAACTAATGGAAAGGTGTTTTCCTCATTACACCAGTGTATGAAAGCCCCAATTTTGCCTCTTAGCCCATAAACTTTACCAAAAGGTTTGCCAACCTCTACTCTAGGACATTGCAGGAGTTTTCTGCTTTGTTTTTTCCATTTAAGTAAAATCACAGCATGTTAAATATCACTGTGAACAATACTTCTAACAAAATCAGTTTATATCCTGGCAATATTACCTGATAATACTTCTACGTGTAGTCCTTTCTTTGGTTATGATCCATGTACTCTTATGAAGTAAATTTCCTAAGAAAATAACAGGCAAGTCTGCATTAGAACTGGATAGAGAACAAAGGAGCAATCCTGAACACCAGCAAAGCTTTATAATTTTACTTACTTCTACTCCAACAGAAAATTTAACTTTTAAATCATTAGTCCGTTTCTATCACCAAAACCTTGAATGCTACACAAACACTCCAAACAGGGTACTGGAGTACAGGCCAGTGGCTCAGGGGCGGCGAGAGGCTTCACCAGAGACAGAGTGGGGAGCAGAACAGGCAGATCAACGAAGTACACTGCTGAGGGGAGCAGCGGGCGGTGAGGAGAGGTCTGCCACGCCATGTGGTCACCTCCTGGGCAGGTGGGGATCGAACTCATGCGGAAGCGGCTTTAGCTTCTCAATGCTGTGCTTTAACCTGCTGCACCACCAGGGAGGGCCAAAAGCTAGTAATACTTTTAAATTGAGTATTGGGTTTGCCTTTGTTTTCCTTATCAGTTGGCCAATTCTTCTGTTGAGGTCACTAAGATCATAGAGTAGAAGTCTGAAACTGGTGGGCATACACTACCATTACAAATGAAAAAAAATCTCCCTAAGAAAGAAAATGGTAGAAAGCAAAATAGAGATACACAGATAGATTCCTAACTTTGCCCCAGGATCAAGGGTGTCTGAAGGCTGCTAAATATGCTAATGTTCCCCCTTTTTGCTTCAGTTATTTTTCTAGCACTTAAAATTCAAAGGGTGCTAAGTAATGCAACTATGAAATCATTCAGATTAAATTGCAGATTTTTCTAGAAAGGACCTTCTAACAATTCTATGTTTAAATTTTTTCTATTGTTCTGAGTACTGGTGTTAAAAGGACACAATATTCTGGACTTGGTATATACTACTCCACCTTATCTTTTTGCCTGTCACATCTCTCTGAGAGAACCATTCAAACCAAGGAGAAACCCCTTAACAGCACTTAGCACAATGGCAAACCATGAGAACCATCACAGATCGCCATCTGCAGTGATTTTAAAGTCATTCCTTACAAATGGATTAAGGGTGTCTCATTTATGTGAAAATAACAACTTCATTTTTAAAAAGTTAATAAAATGATTCTTCATTTCCCTTGGTTTATTAGTAGTATTAGTTCTATGATCTATTAGTATTAGTTAAATGATCTATTAGTAGTTCAGAGAGTAGTTACCTTTGTTAAAAGACAGCTTAGATCCTTTTGCATGTGGACTTTTCTCAGTGGGGTTCCAATAAATCAAAACAACAAAACAGAAAACAAAAGCACATTCCTTTAGCTCTGCTTCTCACATGTACTAAACTAAATGAATTTGAAATATTCCTACCTTAAATTAGTGAGTGGCATTATTTTACCCACGATTAGAGGAAAGGGGAAAGAGCAAGTTTAAAAAAAACTACCTTTATTTTTTATTTCTTTTTCAGTTACATACTTTTAAACAGGGATGTGTTTCATTATTCAGACATTCAGGCAATGTTGACTTCATTAGTGTCGACAGAAAAGAAGCATAAAAATGCAAAACATCGTTGGCTTAACCTGAACATACCTGCATTACCTATTATTGACCAGTTTGTGTTGCCAGTAGGTTTATTCCTTGGCGTTAAAATGGAGCACTTAAAAATATTGCTAAAAAGCAAATGTCTACACACTGGTCTTTGCAGCAAATAAGGGTACTTATACTTTTAAAATATTTTAAGTCCATAATTGGATTAATATACACACCTTCTTATGTATAAGGAGTTCAGATCATATAAACACTGTACAGTCCAAAAACCCTACTGAGAATAAAACTAAATAGGCTTATGATAAGAAATACAGATATCGCATGTATTTACAAACATCATAGACACACAAATTTGGTCAAATACTGTAAAGAAAGAAGTGGTTTCACATTATAATGGCCAAAACATCCATCTACCTTGCTCAAAGCAAACAAAAATAAAAACTCAGCTTGTAACTCCTGTAGTTTAAGACATGATGACAGTATACAAATAGAATGGAAACTGGTGACCAAATTATACAGCAAATGAGTGCAGGTATTTTAAATCAAGAACTTAAAATGATCATTCAGGATCCAGAGCAACAAGTAAAAACAATGTCCTGATTTGCAGTATTCATACGGGCGCCGAATTAATCAAAAACAATGCAGTGAACTTTTGGCTAATAAGAAAATAAATTACAAACCACAATTAAATCCCTGTAAATGGAATAATGAAGTCAAAATGTAAATTTATTCACTTTAATTACACATTTTAAATGTTACTTTGAGACAATAAAAATAAATAAGCATGTCCAGGGCACGCACTTAAAAAGACAAAGAAGGTCTGCATGGAAGGTAGAAGTAACGGGTTTACACGCCCAAGGTAGCTATGAGATCCGAACAACAGAATTATCTTTCTAGCCAGCCTTCCTTTCAACATTTCTGCGAAAGACTGGCTAGCAGAATGTGACAGAAGTACACCTGTGTTTGTACAGCTTAAACAAAGCATACTGGAAACGCGGAATAGGTTTCCTGTTTGACAGAACCATTACTTTGTTCACGTGCAGGCACTTCGACAGACTGGAGGCAAAGCACCTGACCCATCCTCTCCAAAATAGTTTCTGATCATCAAAATTATGCTAAAAAGTAGGAAAACTTCTAAAGAACCAGCAAAGTTGAATACAAGAAACTAATGTGCACATAGGGCAATAGAGAAACCCAGGTTTTATTGCTGGGAGCTGAGACAGGGTCCTTTTATTTTTCTTTATCAAAGGGCAAATAATAAACAGACACCATTGCATGGCACATCCAGTCTTCTGCTTCCGGAAGAATGTAATCATTCTGTGGTAGGTTTCAGTGAGATCTGCTTTGATTTCAACTTACACACTGCAATGAGTTTCACATTTACGTCCTCTCCTTAGTGTATTTAAACAAACAAACAAACAAACAAAAAACCGCCAAGATATCTCATCTCTCAAAAGTATTCATTTCTTGCTGTCTAACATACATTATTACCTGGAAGCATAAAGTTACATTATACAAATATTTTGCATTTTTAAAAATAAGCACTTTTGCCACTTCGGCAACACTATACTTCACGTGGGATGTAACAAAAGCGGAGCTCTTATTTCCTTGCCACTTGTGATTTGTTTTATCACGACCAACCATCTGCCACACCATAGCGCTTTTTCCTCAGTACCTCTGGGCAGCGATTGTACCATGATTTCACAGAGAGAATGCTAATATGATTCACGAATAGCAGTACCATCAGTAATACTAAAATCAACGCTGATGTCACACACAAAAAATGAACTTAGAACTTCTTTTAAATACTTGGGCTATTCTGTATTCTCTTTTTTTAAAATCCATCATGGAGAAAATTCTCGTTTGATTATGCTGTTAAGGAAGTTATAAAAAACCAGATTGGTATATAACTGGTTGGCATCTGAGATACTGTACTGCTTTCTACAACAGGAGGAGAGCTTCTGAGAAGTGTTCTGCAGAACTTACTCATCAATACCACCTCATTGGTCCATTCCACTCATTGATGGGCAAAGCACTCATGCTTCATCAAAACTTTAAAGCTTCCATCAAAGGTAAATTAGAAAAAAATATGAATGTAAGACAACCACAAGATGAAGTACGAAAGTATGACATGTTTGTTTCTAAGAGTGAGTCCTTGAAAATATATGTGGTCACTACAGAGATGATTTTAATCACAAGACAGCAGATGGACACATAAGTAACTCCCCGTGATCTGTCCGCCTCCAGAGTCATTTGTGGCGCTGTATGGTTTTCCTTTTCCTTCGTTTGAAAAAACAGCAGCACCTGGAAGTGGAGAAAAACAACCTTTTATTATAAAAGCACTAAAATGTCACAAAATAAGGTTGACGCTATGATATTAAAAAGCAACAGGCTAGTGCAAGATAAACAGTGAACATGCCGGTGAAGCATTCGTATTAGTGAAACTATTACAGAGTTATCACTAGTTTATCATCAACATGCCTTTTAGGAAGAGCAAAACATTCTATGCAATGTTAAAAGAAGCTATTTTTGCACCAGTCTCACTGAAAAGCTATGGACTTCTGTATCCTAACTAACCTATCACATTTTATTTTGATACTGAATCTCCGGTTGTGCCATGCTTTTATAAAGTTAATTTCAGTCATTCTCTCCTTACTTCCTGGTAGTTGTGTAAGACTGCTGAAGTAGCCATTAAAAAAGCAATAATGATTCTAATAATGAGGACTGAATTTTCATTAAGAATTAGGCTGGGGCCCTCCCTTGTGGCGCATCGGGTTAAAGCACTGCATTTAGAAGCTATTGCCTCTTCTTATTATTTCTTTTCCCCCCTTCCACATGTTTTTGTGTCCCTCTCCTGACCCGCCCGCTGCTCCCCTCAGCAGTGTACTTCGTCGATCTGCCTGTTCTGCTCCCCACTCTGTCTCTGGTGAAGCCTCTCACCACCCCTGAGCCTCTAGCCTGTACCCCGGTTCTGTATGTACAAATAAATAAATCTTTAAAAAAAAAAAAAGAATTAGGCTGATTTGCAAAAACAAAAAGAAATACAAAATCTACTTAACAAACATCCCATCATACTTACAAATAGGAAAGGAAAAAATATGAGATAGAATAAGAAGGTCAACTAACACTTTAATTCTTTAGGGGTTAAATATGGTGAAGCTTATATTATTTTAATAAAGGTTAAAAAAAAGTATGTTTAGGCCCTCCCAGGTGGCGCAATATCGGTTAGAGCGCAGCACTGTAAGCTACCTGCAGCTGCTTCAGTGTGAGTTTGATCCCCCGCCCCGGAGGTGGTCCACATGGCGAGGCGTGACCCGCCCACCGTTCCCCTCAGCAGTGTACTTTGTCCATCTGCCTGTTCTGCTCCCCTCTCTGTCTCTGGTGAAGTATCTCACCGCCCCCTGCACCTCTGATCTGTACCCCAGTTATGTATGCATAAATAAATCTTAAAAAAAAATGTAGCTAAGAGAGCTTCTTATAAAAAAAAGGTATGTTTAGGTTTTTATTTTAATTAAAATAACTTAAGCTCCATCAAGAATTAAGGGTTTAATTCTTTAACTTTTAAAGAATTAAAAAGTGTTAAGAGATTATACTTAAATTTCAAATAGCACAGTCCAGGTGACTCAGTTTTACAATTAAAACCTAATTCAGGTTTGCCTAACTATTAAGAAAATATACTGATTTTACTTCTATGGTGCACAAAAAGTTTAGGTGTAATCCCTAAGAGAACTGGTTTTTCTCACAGTAAATTCACCCAGTCATGAGAAGATGCAATGTACGTAGAGCAATGCTATGGCTGGAATGAGATGAACTCAAATAAAAATCACTGATGAGCAAAACACACACATTCTAAAAGTCTGGCTTTTCCCCTTTCACGCTTCAAAGAAAGTCAAGAATATCAAGATTAGAAGCACTCCATCTAGGGAGGCTCTGCTGGGTATTTTTTCCACTGAAGTCCAGTGTGTGTGTAAGAATGTAAATTATAAATCATATTTTATAACAGAGTAAGGCATACTTATTTACATAGTGCCCCATCAACAAAAAGCTGCACATTCAGAGCTTAGACATGTGACCTTATAAAAATGTCCCTGTAATTCTTAGCAATGTATCTTTATATAAGGATATTAATTCAACATCTTCAAGCTAAGCTTAGAAACCACATAGTTTAAGAACCTTACCTGGCCAAAAAAAAAAAGCAAGAGTTAATTCACCTTATGGAAAATGAAATCATTGGTACAGGCGGGGAGAGGATTCACCAGGGACAGAGTGGGAAGCAGAACAGGTAGATCTGCTGAAATACACTGCTGAGGGGAGTAGAGGGAGACAGGAGAGATCTGCTATGGCACGTGGGGCAATTCCCTGGCTGGGGATCAAACTTGTGCAGAGGAGGCTGCTGATAACTTCACAGTGCAGTGCTTTACTCGCTGGTCACCAGGGAGGTCGCCTTAATGCAATTTGTTTTGATGAACACATTCCAATCCCAGATTTTCCACACTTCATTAGTATTTCACCTTGTTCAATTTCTTATTCCAGGCTCGTTAAGCTATTTTTAGTTTTGAGAGCTGAGTTCCCATTTCCTAGGTAATCTTTCCTTCATTTTTGTATTTTTAATACAGAAAGCTATTCTAAGAGTTCATATGAGCTAAATGAGATTTTTAATGAATTGTAATTATAGAGGCCTTTTACATTCAAAGACAATCTAAAAAAGAAATTAATCCCACTAAAGAATACAGGCCTTAAATGAATTTGCCAAAGTTGTCATCCTCTTAAATCTATTACCACCAGAGGGCAGCATTGCTTTATATAATGGGAGCACATCCAGATACTGCAGAAACAAAAATGCCCTCAACAATATACTTAACAAGAAAAGGAAATATGTAGTGTCATAGATGTTTTTTTAAATAAAAGTGATTACAAAAACAGTTCATATTCCTAGTGGCTTATAAACTAGGTCTCCAACCAATTGTCTCCTGTCCTTGAATTTTTTTCCCAGAGTACTTAGTACTAATCTAAATGCATTTATTTACTTGTAATCTCTCTCTTTTTTTTTTTTTAGTTAATGAACATAAACTTCGTAAGAGGTGACCTACATGTCACACACACACATGGCCAGTATTCATTTATTATTTAATGATACACTTCATATATGGCACTAACTCTTAGTAAGAACCCAATAAAAATTCTAAAGCTAAGTTCTTACCCACAGGCCACAAACCTAGCAAACTAATAAAATGCATATTTTAGCATCTGTGGAAGTTCTGCTGGAAAAAAAGTAGCATGTAACAGAATCTTGGGGGAAAAAAATCTGACTCCCAAGAAGCACAGCTCTTTAGAGGGTCTTAATTTTCTCTCTAGGTCATATTCCTGTTTCTTAGTGTCCAGTGAACCCTTGCCCTGGATGCCCCATGCTGAGAACACCAAAGATAGGAAAGCACCCCATGAATGCAGGCAATACATAAAGAGAGACAATGTAATTTTAACACTGAAAAGGGACTAGGGTCCTCCCTTTCTCCTATGCTTCCTTCTCACAAAATCCCACAGAGGGCTCTCCCTGGTAATGCAGCTGCACTGTGCAGCTAAGCCAAGCTATGGCTGTCTCAGTGTGAGTTCGATTCTTGGTCCTGGAGTTGACCCAAATGGAGTGGCAGACCTCTCCTAGAATTATATATAAAAAAAAGAAACAGAACCATAGATACAGAAGCATGTTTCTTTGTCTGGACCTGAAGCTCTTATCTACCCCTTCCATTGGCTCATCTTTGGCACCTGCCTGACTTTATATACTAGAAGACTAAAATCTAACCATTCCTAGTTTTGCTTGTTGACTATATAGAGAAAATATCTTTCATGACATAACCAGTAATTCTCTGAGACAAATGATTTTCCCCAGAAAATTACTGCCTAAAATGTAATTTCAAATCTCTAGATCTCTTGGTTTCTTTGTAGTTAAGCAAGCAGAATTCATAGGAGAAAACAAGACCACCATAGCTAATCCAGTTAGGAATCTACAGAACCTTCCCGCTCTCCAATGTCCTCCCCTTCACCCACATATACTTACAACCTCAATTTTGAAATGACTTTCAAAATTTCCATGTTCTCTCATGCTGACTTACTTCAGAACTTTTTCAACTTGTCTCCACCATTGCTGAGCCTTTTAACTGACTTCCCATTCTCACTCACCTCTCCAATCTGCCATTCAAACTATCATCATAAACATGACCAAACCCTTTTCCTCTTAAATCTCAGCAGTTTCTCCAGCGTCTAAAGCATTAAATTCAACCAATAGGTTGGTTCCAACTTATTTTCATTTTGGTCTCATCCTTCATTCATTCTAAATAACAGGGCAGTACAACAGGGACCTCTATTAGTGCCAGATAAAGAGAAAGAGAGGAAATTAGAAAGAATATTCTGAAAGAGAATTCTAACTACTTTTAATAGCACAAGAATAGCAGCATAAGGTGCAATGGAGAGTAAGAATTCATGTTCACACTTCTAATCACAGACTAACAAAGATGTGAAGAATGTAACAATAAACTTATCGATTGGAATGTTAGAATAAATGTCAAAGGTGACAAAATTTTATGTGTTAAAAGGGAATATCAGTATTTTTAACTGGTGAAGAATATAGGGAAGGTCTGAAGACTTCCTGTCCCATCTGGAGTAAAGCTTTACTGCAGTTGAACTACCACACTTTCATCTTTTTAATAACTATTTTATTGAGATGTATATTATTTCATGAGTCATAAAACAGACCCTTCTAAGATTACTAGATTTACATTTAAAGATTTTTATTTAAAGAGTTTTGCAAATCAGCACCAGTATCTATTCTCAAAACATTCTCATCACCCCATGAAGAAACCGCATCAACTACTATATCCATGCCCCTCTTTCCTGCCCTGGAGTTACTAATCTACTTTCTGTCCATGTATTTGTGTAATCTGAACATTTCCTATAAATAGAACCATACAATATGTGACTCTGTGTCTGTCTTCTTCCATTTAGCATATGTTCAATTTTATTTGTTAATATTGTCAACTAATAATCCATTTCATGGCTGTAGCTGATTATTTGGGCAATTCTTCAGTAATAAACTTATTGAGGTGTACTGTCTCAGGCATGGGGGAAGTGGGGATTTGAAGATGAAAAACCTGTTTTCAAGAAATTAGAGATTTCAAAGAGTAGATGATAAAGAGTAACATATCAAAGGCAAACACACAGAACCAATGAGACATAGGTTTTAGAATGGGAAATGAGGTAGGAGACAGGCAGGGATAAGATTTAGAAAGGTATGAAGGACATGGCGTTGCACCTGGAAAGGGACATGACACCCTAGGGCACGGAGAATCTTCCTCCAGGAATAACCTGCCCATCACATCCTTTTTTTCCTCCTCTTTTACCACCTAAGATAGAATCCAAACCAAAGAACATACACACCCACATTAATTTCAACTAAATAATTTAAATTATGCCATCCTTCAAAGCTACCAAAAGCATTCTTTGATCATTCTATCAATGAATAATCTGGTTTTTCCTTACAAGTTTTAAGAGGTTTCTTAAATACCTTTTTCATAATATTTGTCATAGCCTACTGTAACTACAATAGTTTCTGCTGACATGTAATCTGCTTAATGGCTCAAACAACATGAGGTATTTTTGAGATCCAATCAATACAACTATTGAATGAATAATTGGGAAGATGTTACAGATTTAGTTGTAAGTAGATCTACAAAGTCATATAATTAAAACAGCATGGTACTGGAATAAAAACAGACACACAGACCAATGGAAATGAACTGAGAACCCAGAAAGAAACCACACATATATGGTCAACTAATCCATGATAAAGGAACAAAGAATATGCACTGGAATACCAGTAATCTCTTCAATAAATGGTGCTGAGAAAACTAGACTGCTACATGCAAAACAATGAAACTGGACTACTACCTCACACCATACACAAAAACTATCTAAAAATGAACAAAACCTGAATGTTAGACCTGAAACCGTAACATATATAGAAGAAAATATAGGCAAGCCACTCCATGACACACACTGCAGAAACATCTTTGAGGACTCAACAAACAAAATGAAGGAAAAGATAAACAGCTGGGACCACATCAAACTAAATATCTTCTACACAGCAAATGACACAGTAAACAAAGCAAAGAGACATCCTATAGAATGGAAGAATATATCTGCACTCCATATAACTGATAAGGGACTGGTACCAAAGATCTACAAAGAGCTTACACAACTCAACAAAAAACAAAGCAAATAATTCAATTAAAAAATAGGCAGAAGAGCAAAAAAGACACTTGTTCACAAAACCACAATAAGATACCACTTCACACTGAAGAAAATGGTCCATTAAAAAAAAAACAAACAGAATAACAAATGCTAGTGAGGAGGTGAAGAATAAAGAACCCTCTTACACTGCTGTTGGGAATGTAAACTAGTACAACCACTATGGAAAGCTGTGTGGAGGACCCTCAAAATACTAAAATTGGATCTACCATAACATCTAGTGATTCCACGCGTAGGAATCCAACCAAAGGACATAAAACATTAGTTCAAAAGGAAACCTACACTCTTATGTTTATAATATTTATAATATTTACATATATAGTGTTGATATATATAGTATATATTTATATCTACATATAAATAAATATTTTATAAGCCATTTATAATAGCTAAGATATGGAAACAACTGAAAATGTATAGGCATATATAGAAACAACCCAAAAACAGATCAATGGATGAAGAAGATGTGGTATAATATATATGACAGACTACTAGTCTAGTGATCAAAAAAAGACAACGTTTGCTGCAACATGGGGAAGGTGGAAGAGATCTGCTACTGAAATAAGTGAGGGGAAAAAAATACTGGAAGGTTTCACTTATAGGTGGAACACTGGGAAATCAAACAAAGGGTCAGGAAAAAGACAAAACTTGCAGGCAAACTACAAACCTGAGAGATATAGCAGGAGAGGGGATGAGAGAGGGGACAAAACAGGGGTGGGGAGAGCAGAAGGGACTATGGTGATGGTGCACAGGTGATATGGTGGTGGGGGAGGGGGGGAATTATGGGAACTACACCTGAGGAGAGAAATCAAATACTGTACAAACGTTAACAATGATGTCAGATAATAAAAAAGTTTACAAAAAAAGTTTCCTCATCTTGCAGCCAGTCTATAAACATCATTTTGGAAATTATATGGATAGCTTCTGATTATGATTAAAGGTTCCAAAATTTACTAATCTAATCTAAGTTTTTTTATTCACTTCAAGGATGACTGAAAATTTTATTCACTTCAAGGATGACTCAGTCCTGAAACTCAGAATTTAAAAAGCAAATGTCAGAGAATAAATTTGTCCTTCTAAACAGGGACACTATGGTTTATAAATATCTATATTAACAGAACTTACTTAAAAGAGACTTTTCCAGGGCCCTCCCTGGTGGCGCAGTGGGTTAAAGCACAGCACTGAGAATCTAAAGCCGCTTCGCATGAGTTCGATTCCCACCTGCCCTGGAGGTGACCACATGGTGTGGCAGACCTCTCCTGACCCGCCCACTGCTCCCCTCAGCAGTGTACTTCGTCGATCTGCCTGTTCTGTTCCTCACTCTGTCTGTGGTGAAGCCTCTCACCGCCCCTGAGCCTCTGGCCTGTACTCCAGTTCTGTATGCACAAATAAAATCTTTGAAAAAAAAAAAAAAGAGACTTTTCCATACTATACTAGTTTCCCATGCAAATTAGCAATGTATGGCATGTTTATTCAAGGACAATATTATCAGTAAATGAAATACTGTTTTAGTTATGCCACAGGGATGGGAGAAGAGGTCTACTATGTGTTTTTAATAATTACAAACAGAAAATAAGAAAGGTTAAATTAAAAACTGCTTTCTATGAAAAAGAGCAAATTAAGCATCTGCATTACAGAATAAATGCACAAGCACAAGCACAGGCAGGGCTGGTGTCTCATCTACGTGATTAACAAGTGTGCCCAAATCTAAGTGACTTAAAGCAAAAAAGTTGCAGCAGGCAAAAGAGCTCCTCAAAAATTAATTCCACTTTACAGGGACAATGTAAATGATATCAAATATTTTTGAACAACTTTTACCAATTGTAATTTCTATATTGAAGGGCTTTTTTTTTTAAATGCAAAATCTTGGAAATTATAGTCAATGGAGCTATTTCTGCCTGTCTACACTTGAGAACTCACCACATGTTCAACACTTTCTGGCAGCTATATACACACACACAAAAAATATGAGATAGAGATAAGAAAACAGAGAGAGAGAGAAAGAGAGAGATCATCAGCAACAGCCCACAATGAAATTATTGTTTTCATGTTTAATTTCTCCTACAGTATTATTATAATTTATACTCACAAAACAATAATTTAAAAAGGATATTAATGAATGCACTATATATTAAAACTTATAGTTATCCTTATTGTTAAGAGAAAAAATTAACATATATGATAGTAATAACTTTCATGTAGCAACGTTTAAAAAGCTAAAAATCTAGATATCTAAACAAGAATTTTTGTATAGTTTTTAAATGACTATATTTGTATTATTACCATAAATTTAGTGATTAAAATAATTAAACATATCATTTTGCATGCACCTATTTCTTGATTCAAAAATTCTTGACATAACTATACAAGACTACAAATCTCAAACATGTATACTTTAAGAACAAAAAGTTACTAAAAGAAGCAAAATGAATGCATACTTGGTTTCATCAATCATTTCTACTTCTGTAGGGGCTGTAATGGGTGCATTAGAACGTCCTGCAGTAGGGTCATCTGTGTTTAACTCTCCATTTGTAGAACTTACAACCTGCCAAAGAAAATAAAATTACACACATACAATGTAACAGGTATTAAGTATAATTGAGGTTAAAAGTATTTAAATCAGAAGTTAATATGAAGAACACAAAACAATTAGTATGTAGTTTTTCATAACTGAATATAGAAGAAATCTAGATTTCTATTAAAGATAAGGTCATCCAATATTTGGTTTTTTAACATCTTTTCATTTTGAAATTTTTGTGTTCTCACCCCTTCCCTTGGTTTTTAAAGCTAACTCCAAAACTTCTATCTCAATGAGCTCCCTCTGGTGTGCTCATCTCCTTTGGCACCTTGCTAGATCATGAATTATTTCACTTGCAAACGTCAATACTGTTCTTTCCAAAGGACTTTTTTTTTTCAATCTGAAATTTCATTATCCAACTGAATTACCAGTTGTTCAACTGTTCAAGCCTCAAATTCAAGATTTATTGTGATACTTCACATTGACTAAAACACATCTCATTCATCACCCAATTATATCACAAATCTCAACAGCGTTCCTCATGACTAGTACAGGACTTTAGTTCTGTACTAAGAGCAGAAACCTGTAACTGGTCTTCTGTTTTTACTTGTCCCCCACTCCCCACTAATGTACTGTCCACACAACAAGCAGGTCATTCCTTTTAAGATGTAAATTAATACCTGTATTCCTTGGTTAAAACTCAAGTGTTGACCTCCCATTGCATTTACAATAAAGATCCATACTCTTTACCCCAATTTACAAAGCCCCTTCTTCTCTGATTACATACCATTTCCCCTTTACTCACCAGCTTCCATCCGATTTGTGAAGCTCATTCTCACCATAAGGCCTTGCAGTTTTCTATTCTCACTGGCTAGAATTCTTTTTCTACTAGTGGACTACTTCTTATCTTTCAGATTTTCAGGGAACATTTCTAAAATGGGCCTTTTCTTATCATACACTCTAAAACTTCCAGACATCCTTTGATGATATACTCTATTTTTAAGTCTTTATTAGAAGAGTTACTAGCATTTATCTATTTTGATTTTTTCGGTTTATTTCTTCATGCTGGTATAGCAGAACCTTGTGTTGCCCCATGCTACTCTCTCCACTATACCTAGCACAGAACAGGCACTCAACATATACTTGTTGAAGAAAATGAATGCTTGCATGCATAAATGAAGTCCTAAAATAATACAAAAAACTGTCACAAAACTCCCAAATTACCAAAATTCTCTTGGTCCTAGAAAATTATCTTACTGTCATATTTCTTACATTTCCCTAGACTTTATTCTTTACAACAAGTCTTAACTTGCCACTTTTTAAACTAGATCACTGCTTTATTCTGAAAGGAAATTGGGGCCAGCCAGATGGAAAAGCAATATAGGGCAAAGTACAGGGGAAGGGACAGAACTCCCATGTACCCTTTGGCAACACTCTCCCTGACATCTTTATATGTTCTCCCCAAATCTCCACATGCTAGTCAAGCTTTCTAAACCAAGACCTTTGAAAGATTTATGGAGGTTTGAGTACACATTTTTTAAAAGTTCCCTATTCACTTATTTTTAAAAAATGTTCGTTTAGATTTTATTGTGGAAAATGTCAAGCATAGACATCGAATAGTATAACGAAACCCTGCTACCCTGTGACAATCATCCCTCTACCATCAACCCTCTAATCAATACCTCACAATCTATACTCTGCTCCTAGATCAGAACTCTAAAAAGAATTTGTTTGGCTCAGTCCTAATCTTCTTGCAATTTTCTGGATCACCTGCCAAAAACTGATGATGACTTTGGATGAAATAGGTCTAGACTGAAAGCCTAATTCTACACTTGGCAGCTCTGTGACCCTAGATGACCCTATGTGACCTTTTCTTGCTAAAGCTCAGTGTTCTCAATAAGAAAAGAAATCAATACAGAAAGCACCATGAGCAGCAGAGAGTGAGAGCTCCACAAACGGCGGCCATCTTGGCGCTTGGCCCCACCTACAGCGGCGGTGTAGACTCCCAGCTACAAGGACAGGACTCTGAGGCTAACCACTCAATTAATTTGACAATGGCTAGCACCTCATACTCATTATTTCCAAAGGAAAGTAACTAGAAATCAACCAATATATTTGGCTTAATCCAAGCATTATACAAGTTCAGCTTCCTCTGGCCCAATGGAACAAGTATTAGAAATGGATACCAGACCTGTGCCTTCAGCTGAAAACCAAACTGATCATCTTGGGACACAACCCAGATGGAAGAATCTGCCCGTAAGTGTGCCTCTGGGGTATGTGCTGCCTCTTTCTGTTATTCTACTGGGTTCTATCTTTCCCCCTTCTTACTTCTCCCTCTTTCTGAAAATATTTAAACATAGTTATTTAACATACTTGGTTCTTTATTCTTAATGTTTTAAATGCCTGCACTCCTGTGTGAATTGGAAGGGAGCTAGTAAACAGGTTTCTTACTTTATACCTCTGTATCCTCTCCCACCTTCAATTAGCAGAGTACCTTATACACAGTGGATAATCAAAACGGCTCACTGAACAAATTCCATTGCTCTTCCCTCAACAAAATATTCGACATTGTTTTTTTTCTTTCATTTTGCTCCATGGTCATAGATAGTTGGAGGAACCCTTCCCCTCAAATTATAGATATCTTTCCAAATATGTCATCCCTTACTTTAGGCAACTATTAAAAATTTAAAATACTCAATATTTTCAGCAACAGAAACTATACATGCACTATTACTAAATAATCTGACTTTATTTTAATTCATACATAGTCATACTAACATGAATGAACTTATTTTTAGTAAAATGCTTCAAATCCCACTCTACCTAGTTGACCAAAAACAATCTAGAAGGGACTGACATTGCCCCTTAGGCAATTTCTTAATATAAACCTTTGGGCTTGCCAGATTTTCTAGCCTAAGTAAAAGTCAAAATTCCTCCCAGGGTCATAACAGAATCAATGTAGTAAAGATTTCTCTGTAAATTTGACCTACTTAACACGTGTGACTAGACAGGTTATTATGGCATTAAAACCAGTGGTCTCTTTGCAAAGGGTTTTACAAAGAAGAAACAAAGACATACTGTTATAATAAGTAATGGGTCACTAAATTCCTGGAAACTTAAATCAATAAGCAATAAAACAAATATACACAAACTATTTTTATAAGCCATATTCAAAGATGATTTATTTAGGCAATATTACTAGAATCAAACATGAGAGTCTCTGAAATATCACTGGTTCACTTCCTTAATAAAACTATATTTTAAAATAATAGATGCTTTGAGGTTTGACATTTTCAAAAGTAATTCAGGTATTTAAAAGGGGGTTCTATTGTTGTTTTTAAGAAGTTTTCTCATATGTTGAGAAGGAATTTGGTGCAATTCTTATAAGTGGTTTAAAATAAAGTAGCCAGACTACAGATTTAAGTTTCGTATTAACAGAGTTTAAGAGGGTAGGATGAGCCTGTTAAGTGAGAAATACATCAGTGCCTGTTCAATCAAATGCCCAAAGAAATCATCCTCATACTTTTGAGTACTATTAAAAACACATGGCACTGTTGTAGTCAATAATTTGAAGGCCAATTAATATATCCTTCCAAATAGAATGAATTCACACAAGTGAGTCATGCTATTACCATCCTCATTTCTGTGTGAGTTTTTATAAGCATTTTATCAAGGTCTTAACAGAGGTTAGATATATAAATTAACATATCTCCAGCTTAATATTAGACATATTAAAACATTTTATTTATGTACTCAGCTTTCCTAAAACATCTACATGGAAATAACACCAATAAATGACATTTAGTTAAGTTTCTAAAAAGTTCACTGGACCTGTGCTAGGGTTCATGTACAATATAAAATCCACTTTCTTAAACAGTTTAAAAACTTTTAGCTAGAATTATCACCAATATTCTTGATATCCCAGCTCATGACCTGAAGATAAACTGACAGCCTCATTCACTTTCAACAAAGATAAACCAAAGTGGATTTTCAATCTGACTTTCACTTACAGAAGTATTAAGAGTATTCTTTGAGTAGTTTAACTTCTTGAGATGTTACTGTAAATGTTACTGTCAAATATATAAAAATAAATTGTAATGCTAATTATCCCAATGACACAGGAGAAAGGATGTACTCAGGAGATATAGTACATTCCTGCAAAACCAGATGAAGCTATTCGCTTTCCAAAGCTCTTCTTTTACAGATTTCAATGCCACAAAATCTATGAATAGAAGGATATGACTGAACAATCACTTATTTTTCTTATTAGTTCCTCTGTATTTTCAAAGACCTGTGTTTTCTTACCATTTCAAGGCACAGGTCCAATTATTCTTCTGTTATCATCACTTGTATGAACATTCTTAAGTTTTAATGATTAAAATTAAAGAATCAGGCTGTTTACTACAAAAATGAAAGCTATTCGTCCCTTTCATCAACGGTGCCTGGCTGTAGAACACACTGCACCATTTGTGATTGTGCCCTTTCCCCCACCTACTCTGTCATATCATTCCTTAGCTGTAAGCCAAAGGCTGCACAGTTACAGGAGATTTCAAAAACAACCAGATATTATACCGTGAAATGGAAAATAGCTTTTCTGTAGGGTCCTTACTAACTCTTCTTTGCTCTGCATGCAGTCACCTCTCAGCCTCCCAGGATCAGGCTTCCAGTCACAGCTCGGCTTATGGAGCTGCACTCCAGAGCCAGGAAGGTGCTGCTGCAATGGAAAAGAGAATACCACTACCTGCTCAGCCAGGGGCACATTTTAAAACCTAATTCTGAACTTGTAAAACCTAATCCTGACTTGCTAGGGAGAAACAAGTCCAGAGAAAGCGTGTCTTTCCTCTCAGCCACTATGCCCAATGAAATTCTACCTGCTAATTATCTTTTAAGGCCTTTTATTTCTCTTCATCTCGCTACCCGTCATTTGTCCTCAGGTATACTTTTGAAGGGAAACTAAGACTTGTTTCCCTTCAATCTAATTTCCAGCAAAAGCAATCGTTAGAAAACACTGATCAAGTGAGTTCCCTACCTACCCAATTCTCTCTACCCAAAGGCTTCAAAGTCCAAATGTAATAACAAGACATGTAAGACCTTTGTGATCTGCCTCAACACACTCCAGCTTGCCTGCACTGTACTCAGTTTCTTGTGTCTCTCTGTTCCACAATCTCAAGCGTGTTCTCTCTGCCTGGTACATTCCTCTCTTGACACCTTCATTCCTCGTTAGAGTGTTTACTAATTCTTCACTTTCAAACATGAAAAAACAGACATCTCTTTCAGGAGATTTTAACCCACTAACCCTGGGTAGGTGCTTCTGGCCACATAGAATCTCACAGCATCTTGTAATTTTTTCCACTTATTCCACACCGTTTATTAGCTTCGCCCCAAAACATAAAGTTCCATGGGGGAAGGTACCAGATCACTGCTATTTTTGTATTCATCTAAAAAATCCAGCAGAGTGCCTAGCATCTGGTAGGTAATTATACATATTTGCCAAAGAGTAAATGGCTAAGAAGCTGAAAGTCACTGGGCTATGCTTCGCAGCCTTAATGATTACCAGGGGGATTCCACTAGGGCCATGCCAAAATACGTACCAGCCAAGGTAGATTCAAAATGAAATGTTTAGATGTATGAATATTATTCTTAGTCTCATGAGCGGGAAAAGTTTATAAACTGTGTATTTTTCGGTAGTGTATTAACATGATTTTACTAAAGAGACAGTCAAATTAGTGAAGTTGCATCTGACAATGCTTTCTTTTGGCTGCACCGCTATACTTCATGTCCCAGAGACAGGTGAAAATAATTCAGGTTTAGGTTTCTTAATTTGCAAATACAATAGATCATTATTCCTTACTTTCTAAGTCCTAACCTCTGTTGAATATTTAAAAATTTTTAATTACACTATAACACAAAACTATGAGGTTGAAGTTACCATTACTATCTCCACTTTACTGATGAAAATTTTAAGACAGAATTTGGACTCAGATCTGACTCCACAATTTATGCTTTAATCACAATAAAATCAATGTGGTAACTTACATGACTGAGTTGTAATAAACATTGTAACTCTAGAATGAGGAAGTGAGACTCTACTACTTATTTCCTGTTAAAATCACCCCTGAAATAATAATTATTTGTGAAATTTTCTGTAGGTGTAAATGCCAAGGGATTTCACCTTGTCTGTCAACTGGAAATAGCCTAGACTTCTCTGAGTGCCAAATGAATAGCAATTATCAGCTCCATGGAAGAGTGTGAGACAAATTGAGGATGAATGCCATAGCCCCAAAGTGTCAGCAAATTCTGTTTTCAAATATCATAAATTTGTACCCTATTTAATTACCAGATTTGCTATCTACTTATTATGGCAATGTCTTTCCTGGGCAACTATTTAATGGTATTTTCTTAATATTAACTGAGGATCAATTTTTATTTGCCATGTAAAACCTCTGTATATCTGGCAGAGTCAAGGCTTTACACTTAGTCCAGTGGATAGCTGAATGCCCATTGCATAAAGTATCTCAAAGAAAATTATTTTCCTATGCAGTACTGGTAAAAAGCTTTTCCTCTCAATCTCTCCCTTTAACAGACAATGAGAATGATACAACACATTGGTTCCTTTCAGTCAAAATCAAACATGGTATTCAATTATTACAACAGTCATATTAGCTTAGATTTTACTCTTTTCTTTCCTCATAATTAATATTTTAAACTACAATTGCATTAGTTCAATTATCCAAGTGCTGTAACTTATCAAATTTTGAAAGTAGGTAGGATTAGAGATTATAAATGATTCAATCTTTATTTTGGGATAGGACAAGAGTGATGCATGATCATACTTACAGGCTGTTAACAAATTTTTCATGACTGTCAAACTTGCTTAATGTCCACCATACCAGGTCAGTTAATGTTAGAAACCTTATTTAGGAAGCTGAGGAAAATTGTATTTTGCCTATGTGTTACTAGAATTCTAGCAAGTAAAACCGACCATGTATTGAGCATTAGGAGTGAAATCATATGTACTCTACAGTCAACAGGCAGAAAAATTTTAAGGGAAAACAAGAGACAAGCAAAGTTAAAATAGCTCTTAGAAAGCATATGAAAAAAAAGAAAAAAAGAAAAAAAAAACAGCATAAAGCACTGAAGTGCTGAGCCAATAAGCAAACTCATTCACTCTTTGACAATCCAAAGAGATCCCATGAGCCACCTTTGGAAATCCCAGAGAGCAAGAAGCAACTAAAATGTATTTGTGGTAATGAAACAGAAATAGTAGAAAAGCCTTCTAATAGAGCCTTAGTTGTTGCATTTTCCCTGAGAGCAAAGCAAGATACTTGCTATAAAAATATAAAATACTTAGATGCATACAGACACATGTGTTGTGCAATTAAATATAATCTGCTCAGTTAAATTTTCCAATAATATGAATCAGATGCATTAAACAGCTTACAATGCAAACAATCTTGCTTTTGAGTCTCTCACCCTAGAATTTTATAAGACTATTTGAATACTTCTGTAAGACATTACAGAAATTTCCATAAACTACAAAGTTATATAAAAATAATTAGTCACATAATTTAAATTATCTCTAAAATGTAATGGTAAATAAAATACGAGAACCTAAGATTTAGAAGAAAATCTAGAGTATAGATTCAGTAGATTAAACACAGCACACATACACACTGGAAGAAAAATGCAGATTTGGAAAAAAAGAAAAATGTTCAAGTGGAAGTAGGTAGTAGAAAATTAAAAAACAGTGTAAGATTTAAACTGTTGCAAGATTTTAAATTGAGATAACACTCATCATCTCAGCAACTTTAGACCAGCATTTAAGTGATCTTAAACCAACATTATAATAAAAAAGACTCAGTAACCTTGTCCTACCTCTACAATATACATAAAACATCAAATGTGGGAGGCAAAGGGTGGCAGAATATAGTAGCTATCACTAAGAACTTAGAAAAGGGAGAAAGGAATAAATTTTAAAAAGGACATTAAATCTTTGTAAATATCCATAAAACTGAGGGGGATGTGTCAAAAGTATTTTCTCTTGAAATTAGCATCTATATGGAATATTTTCAACACATATAAACAAAACATACCATTATAAAAACTATGGTCATACTTATTGACCAGTTACTCAGAAGTACATTCTGAGTATTAAAGATGAAGACTTAGATATCTACTTAGTTGACATGTTCGAAGGAGGCAAAAAACACTAAAAGGGAAAAGTATAAAAATGTCTGTTACTTAAAGCATTAAAAATTGAGCCTATTATTGGTAAATCAAGTTCAACAGATATTTCAAGTAATACACTCTGTTCTTCTAACTTGTTGTGTGACTTGCTTAATTACTGTTGCAAACACTTGCTGAGCAAAGGCAAAAATCTTAGTATCCCTGCTGGGCTTTCAAGACCATGTTAATTTTGGTTGTTTTAGTCAAATACAAAGGAATAGAATTATGGAGAATTCAGCAATAAGTTTTTCATTAAGATATGAATCATGCCATGAGTTCCAAAAAAGGGTTAGTTGTATAAATTTGGGAAATAATCACTCATGCAAAAATCAGAAAATACCTGTACCGAGCCACCATGTCTGTCTGCTGCAAGGTGAGCTCTCAAATGGTGGGGATTTGCCTGCTGGGAGTCCCAAGCTGCCCTGTGGTCTGCCGACTGCCATTTATTTAATGCATGTGGCATGCATGGAAGAAGAAAAACCCAATATGTTAAACATCTCATTCTTAAAATATAGAATACAAACGTATAAGAGGAAATTTTAAATACCCTTACTATTCTGAATCACAGATGTGTTTATCTTTGTATACTGAAAGTGGAGAGATTTTAGTTAAACTGCTACAATTATCTAGTGATGTTACTTGAAAATAAAATTGCATCTTTGAATTTTTAAAAGTGAAAGGGCTCTTTATATATATATCTCACAGATTTGCCATGTAACTTTATGAATGACAAGTTAAAAAGGGATTAAGAAGATGAAAACAAAGTGCCCAAGCAAGCACTACAAATAATTGATGAAACTAATTTGTAATCAAGGAAGTATATTTTCTTACAGTAGAAGTCCCCACTGGTTTTCTTATGAGCAGCTACTAACATGGTGCTTAAAAAAAAAAAAAAAAGATAGTCCTCAAATAGCTGTATTAGATCCTAAAGACTTCTATTTTGCTTAGTGCTCTGTTTTTGACTATAAGGATAATAGGAGAAACAGAAAAGTTATCTGAAAAGTGAGAAGGGGTATATAGAATTCTATGGAGGATATAACAAATCAAATTTTGTTGACGTGAAAAACCCTACACTCATCAATCACTTTGCTTTTTTTTTTTTTTTGAGCTCTTTTTACCTAGCTCAACTTAAAGAAACCCCTCCAAGAAACAGACAAATAATTTGTGTTTTTAGATACACTGGGGTATCTAACATGGCAATAACCACAAATTATTGAGACCCTGCAAACAGAAACTGGAACAGCTGCTTAAAAGAAGTCACTTTGCTAGGCTTCAGAAAAATGTACTAGCCACTAGTAAAAAGAAAGGGGAGGAATATGCTATTTAAATTTCTATTACATTTGGCTCTGAATTAGCTATTTTATCTTATTTTTCATTGGAGATAGGTAATATCCTCACTGTACTTTGAAGATAGAGATGTTAAATATTTCTCTAAAAATTACAGAAATAACAACCAGTGTAATAGGGATTCCAAGTGATCCTCTTTGAATAATACTACAGAGCTCGTTACCACCATTACATTTGTTCTAAAGTCATCAGTGTTTCTTTCTTTCTTATCATAAAGAAAATTTGGATATTAAGTGCTAAGTATATTGAACTATAGGGACCCCAAGCATTATCAGTGACCAGAGCAGTAATTTGGGAGAACAGATATTAAATTTAAAGACATAATGATGAACATTCCATTACTAATCTTCCTAAATTAAATAGGATAACACAAAACTACAAGTATACACTGGGGCATGAAGATGTCAATAAAATATTTTTTTGAATTCTTATCTATTCATTAAAATCTCCAAATTTAGAACCAGAATTCAGCAGACTGGTAGCTTGAATTGAAGTAAATAGGTGAAATCAAATCCGAACAGGGGTAAAGGTATGATAGTAATACTAAAATAAGGCACACATCTAGGGCAACAGGCAATATTTGGGGATCATTAACCTCTTCAAGATCATAGTAAAAGCTGCATGTCCTCTTTCTCAAAATAAATATTCACATGTACCTAAAACTTCCTATAAAACTTCAGGATCCACTAAACTCTAACCATTAACTTTAGGTTACAAATTGCTTATATGGGGACATTACAAAGGTTTCAATGATTTAAGAATTATCTTTTGGGATTACAACCTATTAGTCTCTTATACAACTTCATTTTTTATAGATCTTCAAGAAATTTTTTTTGTAGATAAACAACTTTTCTTTTATGATAGAAGCATATCCAGGTTTCAAATTCAAAATATAAATTATCCTAAAAGATTTCCTTTAAAGAGTGTTTTAACTGCCTACATTTAGTGCAACCGGATCACTGAATAAAATAGGGTTTCTACACTCACTGACATCACAGTGTTGCTAGCAGGACAGGTCAGACACATGCAGGAAGTTAAAAAATATATTTAAAGAATAATTTGATTTGACAACATAAGAAGTTTCACTTACTACGATCATTCACAGCTCAAGTGAAGATTTTCACAGAACATGAGTTACTAACCTATTTCCAACTGTGTTTGAGAAAGTAACTCAACTCTAAGTTTGGACTTCGGCTCCAACTTTTTCAATATACAGCACCTTTTTGGCATACTAAAGCTGCCAACCAGTTATAATTTCCATTTGAGGTACTCACATTGTTCCAATTTTTCCAGGTAAAATTCTGAAGCTAATCTTTTCAAACTAGGTATAATTTAAAGCGAGATGTAGCTGAGTATCTCCTAAATTGTAGGATTGTTCTATAATAATTTTTCTAAGTGTGTTCTTTAATTTTCATCTGATTTATCCCTCACTTGAAATGATAGTATAAAAATTGTCAAAAATAAAAAACAAACAAACACACTATCATTCTCCAAAAAGGGATTTAGTAAAAAATTTAAAGGCACTGTGTACCTTGGGGTAAAAGGAAAATTTTTATGTCAAAGATGGCCTTAATAAAGCTTCTTTTCACAAAAAGTGACAGAAAAATAAAACAAACCCATTATTCAGAAACTTCAACAGCTTCCCAAAACTTTACACGGGAACCACAACGTCTATGCCTTGTCCTGAACCTACTCTGCCCCACCTCCACCTTCTGTCTGTTCTAAGCAAACTGAACTGCAATATCTCAAACCAATCTTACATTTTAAAACTTATTCCATATTTTGTACTGTTCACTCTCCTTCAAAATGCCCTTAATCTTTCAGGTGGCTTTAAATATTCCACCTGGGCCATCCTTGGTGATGCAACGGGTTAGGACACAGCACAGCAAGCTGGCTGCAGCTGCTTCAGTGCGAGTTCAATCCCTGACCTGGAGCTGACCCACATGGCACGGCAGACCTCTCCTGACCCACCCGCTGCTCCCCTCAGCAGTGTACTTCGCTGATCTGCCTGTTCCACCCCCCACTCTGTATCTGGTGAATCCTCTCACCTGCACCTCTGGCCTGTACCCCAGTTCTGTATAAATAAATCTTGAAAAAATAAAAAATAAATAAAAATTCCACCTATTCTTCTGCATATCTCAAAAACCATCTTCTACATAGTCTTCACAAATCTCCAAATAGTCAAAGATCCTCCATCCCACTTTACTATTTCTGTTGCAAGTGATGCAACTTATTTTGCTTTGTAGTGTTTGTGAGTTTACTGTAATAATCATGACGATTGTGACACTAGCCATGAGGTGTGAGTTAACAGAAATATCATTATATGCTTACATTAGCATGCATTCTTTCTACTTTATATATGAGAGAGGTGCTTCAAGAGATTTTTCCATGTATGTCTGGTTCCAGAGATTAAATGGGTATTTTAGTCACTTGATACAAAAACATTTCTTACAAATTTTTCCTTACCTTTGCATTTCTGCAATGTGTAGAAGAGTATCTTTCAACTCACAGAAATTCAGTAAATAATTTATTGAACTAAATTAGACTATAGTTAGAAAGATCAACTATCATGAGCTTATCCCAAATACTTCCATTCTGACAATTTCAAATACTGCTCAAAGTTTATACTGATTATATCATTAATTAGAAATTTTCATTAAATGTTTTTAATATAATCGTAAGCTAACAGATAATGAACATTAGGGAAATAGTTTATCTAATCAAATATATTTTTTCAATCCTTAATATCTGATCTTTTCTTAATTTATTGAAGAAAAAATATGTATTTCAATCCTTCAATATGTTTGTACACATGTATGTGAATACTCACACATATTCAGGTACACACTCACAAAAAGTGTCATCTGTATAAGGTAAAACATCAAATATATTTATAAACTGTCAGAAGTTAACAGAGAAGCAAATTAAGACATTTCATATCTTAAAGGGCAGCAAACCTGGTTTTTGGATTGTTGCATTTTATCTCTGTGTTGATGTGCTTCTCTGTTTGATGACAAAGCAGGATCTTGCTGAACTGCACCCACCGGAGTAGGCTACAATAAACAACAATTAACATTAATATATAATAGTTTAGAAATCATATCGAAAATCATTGAACAGCTGCTCAATCAAGAATCAAGGCAATAAAACTGTTAAGTAAAGTAAGATCTTAAGAAAAGTAGGCTCAAACTGTTGTTAAAGGCTAAACTTAATGCAGAGAACCATGTTTTTAAAATATTTGTGACTTTATCAACTATTTATTTTTGTAGTAACAAAAGACCTACTTGTCATAACTTTCACGTTATCATTTTAAGTGAAAAAAAAAAAAAAGGAAAATCTATTCTGTTGTTTAGGTCTGTCACTAACAAAGTTGACATAAATTTCAAAAAGATGATGAGTAATGAGCACCCACCTCACAACTGTAGTCAAGACCTGCTTTGTAAGTCATAACTTCAGTGGTTTTAAAAGCTAAATAAACATGCTCTGAGCAATAAATGCCAATTCCAAAAGATAACCTAAAACTACTAAAATAATTAAGACTATTTAAAACTTATGTTTTGAAAGATGGCTGCACTAATTATAACTAATTATAATAACAAGCTAGCTGCTCATTTTAATCACTAAAATAATATACAAAAGGTGTATCTGATATTAAAAGGTAAATCAGGAGTGAAAAATTCAAATACAACTCACAGAACAATTTTAGTGCTCTGCTAACATGATATATTTATAAAATAGAATAAAAGAAATACTTCAAGAAAGTCTTGTTTTCAAATATTTTCAACTGAAGAATCTATACTGTAAAAACAAGTACCATAATTAACCTCTTATTATATAACACTGAGTACTCACCAACTGTTTACCAATCCAGTCATATTCATAATCAAACATATATCCTTTTCGATCAAACAAATCAGTGAAAAGCTTTCTTAGGTAGTCATAGTCTGGTTTTTCAAAAAAATCCAGTCTTCTTACATAACGAAGGTATGTTGCCATTTCTTCTAGAAAAGAAATAAAAATAATCCATTTGTCTATATATTCAAAAATAGTATCACTTAAATGTCAAAAAAGCACAGTATTAAGAACAAACAAAAATAAAATTTTGTAATTTTAAAACTTTATTAATTTAATGACAAAGGGAGAAAGAAGGGAAGAGAGAAAAAAGGACAGAGAAATTAAAGGTTTGATTTAACAAATAATAAATAAAGTTTTTTTATTTCATAAGGAAGCCAAAAATCTTCATATTCCAATAGACACCTTGCGTAGTATGAGAGGTTGAATGAGCAGTTCAATAGCCCATAATCATTGAATCATTGAAAGCAAGTTCCATACATTTAAAAAATATTTTAAACTAATAAAAAATTTTAAAAATCAATCAAAATACTGGTGGGAACTGATTAACATGACTACGTTTGTACTACCTTGTTAGAATTCCTTTAGAATCACTGACTCACTGACTGACTGATAAATAATTCACTTTGCCAACCATTGCTCTGACAATTATTCTAACCAACACACCTGGCAAAATAAAGCTGAAACAGATCTGTGAAATATAACACAGGAATAAAGTTTAATTCTTCACTTAATTTACAATTAACAATTATTTAATATAAAATAAAATATAAAAATCACTACAATTTCCAACTGCATTAGAAACATACATTTTTAAAAGATCGTGCTTTCCAGAAAGTCTAAGAAAATCAACTGGCAAAATGCTTAGCAATCAGAAAAAGTTTTTCACTATCAGGGTAGAGAAAAGCACCATAGTAAAAGATGGTAGGTTGCAGCCTCGCTACTTTTCTGAGCCAAATTACTCATGACAGCCAGTAAGAAAAAGATCATCCACCACCCAGTGAGCAGTGAAACTGGTACCTTCCTCATGTGGGGACTCTCCTACTATTCTACTTCTCACAAATCACGTGGTTAATTTCTTTGGCACCCCAATTTTCCTTGCAGAAATATCTACAGGATTCTTAATAACATGCGTAAAGCCAATCCTCCTGGCTTTAAGAGCCTGGCCATCAAGGAGCACCCCCTGACTGGCAGACACAAAAACTAGAACATCGGCTAGAAAACCTGAGGCATCAGACACACTGAAGAGCTCCCTTCCCACTGGGAGATGCTGGTGCTCTGAAAGGCAGAGGAAGAACAAGAAGACAACACCATCCAGAGGTCACTGGAAAGGTTTACAGTTAGTTAGTCTTTAGGTAAGTTTTTACTTAGATATATTTCCCACAGGCTGAGATACTGAAGACAGGCTAAGAGGCCTCTTCCACAGAAGACTGACTCCTGAGTCTACTGCCAGGAGTTATGACCTAAAGGTGGTAGCTACTTGAGAACGTTCTCTTTTATTATAGTACTGTGGGACTATAGGCATAAACCCCACTGGCCACCAGAGCCAGCCAATACAGAGGTTCACATTAACCAAAACTGTAGCACCAGACAGTGTTCTAAGCTTTTTCTGGAAGATGCTGGCAAGCAAAGGAAAAGTGCAAACACTGAATTCATCAGCCTCTGCCCCCAGAGATAACCTCCACAGGCTTCCTACATGTCCCAAACCAGAAGGCTGACCTTTAGACCAAAGCTTCTGGGAGATGCAAACAGGCCTCTTCCTCAGAAAGACTGGTATGTTTCAGTCTCTGTATCTACGCAGTAAATTGCAAGCAGTATTCTGTCAAAGATTCTATCTAATTGTTAGTCCTGTGGGATCTGGGAATGAGAGCCCCTCCAAAACAGGTGAGCGTGGGACTTTTCCTATGCATATGTTGCTGCTATTATTATAGGGCCACAATGTGCAAGAGAACCCTAAAACAAACAAGTGAGATACAAGTACAGTCTTCTAGAATCAAGTTTGGTTCTCTTTTCTCTTAAGGTTGTTATGTAAATCACAACAAATGTTGTTATGTAAATCACAACACGTATTTTAATATTCAGCAACACATTCTATTTTTTATTTGATTTAGTATCCTAAGTATATTTTTGTTGGCTTAATTTCAGATGCCAAAAATTCTAAATGACAACACTATTTTCATAAATTTTCTCAATATAAAACTAGCTTCAAAGTAGTAAGGTCAGTAAGATTTTGCTATACTCTGAAAATGATGCTAAATCTGGCATCATATATCTCCCTTAAGTTTGACACTTGAGTCATCTAATTAACACTGTACATAAAAACTTGATAGTATTTCTTAGTAACTACTTTAACTTAGCAAAAGTCTACCATGTAAGATAATACTACTGTAGCTGGTATTGATCAACACTCCTAAATATGAAATTCTGGTCTAGTAACATCACCTTACAGAATAATACAGAAATTGTTATGATAGCTGTACATCAACTATACAATCTGTACATCTTTTAAATAGTATCTTAAAGATCATTACTTACAAACATGAAAAAATGCACTTTTAAGAAACAATGAATATTAAAAACTCTGATTATCTATGTACATGTATCAAGGTTGCAGTATACATTACCTGGAAAATTTTCACATAACACTTCTATTGGTGTGGCTCGTTTTGTATCTCCAATTTTCTGATACCTCTCTTTTAATGTATCAGCCTAAAATTGAAAGAAAATAATCTTGAGAGGAGGTAATTTGGGGACTAAATATTTGGAAAAGAGATTAAAGTTTATAAAATTTAATAAAGAAAACTAGAAACTATTACCTTTAAACCTTGCCAAGGAAGACTGCCTCTCAGAAAATACATGAACATGTGACCTAAAGCTTCTAAGTCATCTCTTCTACTTTGTTCTGAAATATAAGAGAAACATAAAGTTCACTTTTGTCTTCCTGTTAAAGATATTAGTAAGAAAAGAGAACTGACTCATCATACATGAAGTAATGCTTGGTGGTTCAACACAGACACAACCTGTTAGTGACAAAATCACCTCTAGTTAAACGTAGTATTTTGACATTAATATTATCGTGCATCTTTAAAATATCACACTCACACTGTTCTTTTTAAATACTACTGGGGATTTAGTCCCTTCTTTAGGTATCTATATTACATATAGAAACATAAGGCGAGTGGTAAGGGTTTCATGGTGAAAACAGTCACTGATGATGGTGCTCTTCCTTTGGGAGAGTAAAAGGAAATAACAGAGTCTGGCAGTCTAAGTGACTTCCTTTTAAAAAAAGAGAAACAAGAGTCAGTCACTACGTTCTATATCTGTTTTCAGAAAATTAGAATGTAACATATAAAAGATATAGAGCTTAAAAGCCTAACTTTATTTAACCCTGTATATCCTAAACATATGAGCACAAAACTAGCACCCAACTTCTTGTTAAACAGTGCTTTGTGTAGTCTATGTTTTAAAACACTTGTATTTAACACATCCCGACATTATTAACTTCACCACCAAAATATGCTACTAGGACAAATTTTGCCACTTTCAAGTTGTTATTTTAGTAACAAAATTTTATAGAGCACATGAATGAGTGACAGACTAAGACTAATGGTGGTACTTAAATAATTGTTGCTAAGTGAAATGTTTCTCAATTTTTGTTAGTGAAGTTAAAAACTTAAGATTTCTTCATGTTTTTAAATAGAAAAAAAGCTAACTAATAAGAGGAAAATACTAAGAAGATATTTTATCTCAATAAATAATTGTAACATCTCAAGAGTGCTAAATGCTTTTGAAAAAGCAAACTTTTCAAAGCATAATCCCAAATAAAGAGAAAAACTCAGAGGTGGTTTGAATTTTCACTATGTAATCTCTTGCCTTTCTAAAACTGTTTTCTGTGACACCTGCTAGAGTTTAACTATACCCATTTCAGCTATTACTTAACAAACACCTACCCTCCTGGCAGAGAGCAATTCACAAAAGGGCGAATTGTTTTGGTTCCCTGAATCTCATGTAGTGTACTGCCACCAAGCAGATGCACAACATATACTCTTTACATATATAAATGAATAGTTGAAAATACATAAGAATAATATATAATAGTTGAATACATATAATAACAATAAGTGGCGAAACTAGAATAGGAATTGTAGTTATCAGGGATGTGAGGCTAGGGGGCTGGAGAGGTCATTTCATGTACTCAAAATGAGATATAATAGTAAATGTTTTCCCTTTTTCTTGTACACCTATTAAAAATAAGCTTTTAGACCCTCCGTGGTGGAACAGTTAAAGCACAGCACTAAGAAACTAAAGTCATTTCAGCATGAGTTTGATTCCTGGCCAGGGAGGTGACCCACATAGTGTGGCAGACCTCTCCTGACCTGCCCACTGCTCCCCTCAGCAGTGTAGTTCATCAATCAACCTGTTCTGCTCCTCACTCCTCACTCACACCAGAGGATTCTCTGGTGAATCCTTTCACCGTCCCTGCAGCTCAGTTCTGTATGCATAAATAAATAAATCTTAAAAAAAAAAAAACAACTCCTAAAATAGACTTAAAGTTCTTTTTTAAAAACTTTAATGAAAGTAGGAATATAAACAGCAAAAATATCTGTAATGCCTTTTACAAATTCATTATAGTATCTTACTTTATTATATCATGGGAGTCTTAGCTATGAAATGTCAGGACTCCCTGGTGGCACAAGGGCAAAGCGCTACACTATGAAGCTACCTGGAGCCATTGTAGAAAGAGCTCGATCCCACACAGGGAGCTGATCCACATGGCACAGCAGACCTCTTCTGTCTTGCCTGTTCTGCTCCCGACTCTGTCTCTGGTGGATCCTCTCAACCCCTCTCATCCCCACCCCACACACCTTGGGTCTACACTCTTGTTTGTCTATGGAAAATAATTTTTTTAAAAGAAGTTCTCTTGACATTTTGTTCTAATTTAGCTATTACTCCAGTAAGGTTTAACTATCAGACTAAAATGTAGTGAAATGCTACCAATAGCAGTGTGCTATATATAGTAACAAAAAGCAAAAATTAACTGAAAAACCAAAAAAAAAACCTATTAAAAATATACTATTTCAAGAGTTTCTATAAGCTACAATAATCAAAGCACCATGGTGGTAGCGAAAGAAGAGACAACAGATCAATAGACAGAATAGAATTCAGCAACAGACTATAATATCATTAATAGATCTTCATCAAAGGAGTAAAGGTAATTCAACAGAACAAGATAAGTTTTTTCAGAAAAGTGAAACAGGAAGAACTAGAGACATCTACATACAAAATAATCAACAGGCCTTATAGACTACCTAAAAATTTACGTGGATCACAGGTGGTCATCAGGAAACACACATTAGTGGGCCCTCCCTGGTGATGCATGGGTTTAAAGTATGAAGCTGGCCACAGCCACTGCAGCCTGAATTCAAACCCCACCCCAGAGGTGACCCACAAGGTGCAGCAGACCTCTTCTGACCTGCCTGCTGCAGTGTATTTCAGTCAGCACACCTGTTTTGTTCCCCACACAGTCTCTGGTGAATCTTCTCATCCCCCACACATCTGGCCTATACCCCAGATCTTGTATGTATAAAAAAATAAATCTTAAAAATACATGTTGAAGAGACAAAACTATAGTCTTTCAGAATGCCAAAACCATAACAGTGACAATCCCTGAAGCTGGTGAGAATGTGGAACAATGAAAACACTCACTCACCATTGCTAGGGATGCAAAATGTAGAGCCACTTTGGAGGACAAATGGGTAGTTACTTAAAACTGAATGCCCCCAACATATGATCCAGCAATCAAGCTCCTTGTTATTAACATAAAGGCGTTAAATAATTATGTTCACATAAAACCCTACAGTAGATGTTTACATCAGCTTTTTCATGTGATCAAAACCTGGAGGCAACCAAATGTTCTTCAGTAGGTAAATGGATAGAATGTGATATATTCTGACAATAGAATGTATCTGGCACTGAAAATAATGAATTACCAAGCCATGAGAAGACATTAAGGAATCTCAAATGCATATTTCTTAGTGAAAGAAGACAATCAAAGAAAGCTACATACTATATGATTCCAATGATGTAACAGCTGTGACAGACAAAGCTGTCTATGGAGAGAATAAAGAGATGAATGGCCACCAGGGCCTCAGGGAGATGGGGGTGAGGAGGTAATGCACAGAGGATGCCTAACTAAGTCAAACTATTCTGTGTGACACCAGAAGTGAGAACACATGGCACTACCTAGATGATAATCATGCATCACTGTAGATTCACCAGTTATGACAAATGTACTCCCCCGGTAAGGGATACTGGTGGGAGAGACTAAGCATGTGAGGGGTGTATAGGAAATTTCTATCTTATTTCTACTTTTCCTGTGAAGTTAAAACTGCTCCAAAAAATAACATATGTTTTACAAAATACACTGGTACTAAAACAGCATTATCTCTACATTTACTCAGATAAATAGTTTAAAACTTTCCAACTAACTTTGAGGGTCTGACACATCAAGAAAATATCGGTTATGTTCACTGTACTTTCAGAAAGCAATGAACTGTGCAATACATTTTTAAACTTTAAAATATAATTTAAAACGTAAATACATGTTTTTAAACTATTTAAAAGCTGTTTGGGCAGCTTAAAGAGCCCACTTTGAGATTATGGCCAACTACCCTTGAAACTGTATAAATCACATCACAGTATGATAACACTGAAAAGAAAAAAGAAGGCAGGCACTTTTATAATACCATATCTCTGTGATTCTTTTTTCTCCCATTCAGATAACTTACTATGAAGGTTTAAAATATCCAAAATTCTTTTGGAACACACGTTTTTGAAGGCAACTGGCAATGTACTCTTTAACTCCTTGTCTCAGTACTCAGGAACAGTCTATTACTTTAAAATAAAAATAACTTTATTTCCAGAGCATTTGCCAAAGAGAACTATAGTATTTAATTAATTTCAAAAGACTTCAATAAAAAAAAAAGACTTCAATAAGTTATAAGAGGTGTTTTAAAGGCAGAGTACAAAACGAGACTCAAAAGAGTTGACAAGAAGGCCTTAAAAATTAAAGATACTTGAACAAACATAATTAAAAATAACTCAATAAGACGATGTAAAAGAAATTTTCCAATAAAGTAGAACAAGGAAATTCACATCTGTCACATACAATTTTAAGATTTCAACTTGAACTGTGAAATGTAAACGGGAATAACAAAGTGACTTAATACATCTGATTTTTGAACAGAAAGTACCAGGCTGTAAGGTCAATAAATGCATGCCAATGAATAAAGATGCTAAATTATACAATGTGATTTTATACTACTGTACACACTGTTTATATTAGAAACATCTTTTTTCCTGAGAGAGAGAGAAACAAAGAGCAAGGAAACAAAGAGGCTTCGAAAAGAGTTCACCAAGGTCTAGGCAAAGCTGGGAAGAAAGACATTACAAAATTATACATACACCAATTACAATCATCATTAAAGGCCCCATTTTCTCTGTGCTCTTCTTTTCTTATCTCTTCCTGATACACAAAGCCAAATGCTCTAAAATGAAAATACTAAATACTCCATGTTAACAGTTATCTTAAAACTCATCACACGGCTTAATTCTTCACCATTCAAACTCACATTAATTTAGGTTACTCTTTTTCTTTAAATTTTAATAGGAACCCATGAAATCTGGCAAACAAACTTTCTCTCTGTTAATATCATCCTACTCCCAAGTTCTCTATCAAAAGAGAAGCAGGGCTTTTATAAATAAGAAAATGTAGGAGCTGATGCTCTTTGTTCTCTGAAATACTTGCCAAAGGAATAATTTTTGTGTTCTCCCCAAGAGATGAGTGCAAAGAGACTATTTCAATAGTTAAATATCATTTCCCAGGGTCTTGAGATTTTCCCT